CCCCACTCGACATAACTGGGTCTAGTATTCTGCACTTCCCGTATTCAATAGCAGCTTTCCCCACCCCACCCTGTACAATAGTCGGCTACCTTCAAACATTGAATAGTAAATGTTATGCTGGTTTGTTTCATACAGACGACTACAGTAGGATGCAGTAAATACTTTGTTGTCATATGTACTAAGCGGATAGTTCCTATGGCGGAATACAGCAGCCAATTTGCATTCCATTAAAACACTCGTATGAAATCCAACATACAGCATACAGTACCTTCATATATCCTCACCAATATTCTGGCATACCATTTACATGGATGTCCATAACCTTCCAGTAGGCCAAATTAGATGGATGTCCATGTCTAGCTCTGGACATCCAAGTGTATATTCAAAGTCACCCTGGTATCATTTATGGATGTCCAACTCTATGGCGGATATCCATATGGGTTTTTAAGCCTTCTCCACATGTCAACCTGGATATCCAAGGCCGCGCGTGAACATCCAAATGTACTCTCAAAGCCTTCCAAGCTTACCTGGCGGGATGTCCATACCAGCCTTTGGACATCCACGCATGCCCTCAGTGTCTACCAACTAGTTCATTCGTAACCTTGGACATCCAGATGCACCTTGAAGCGCAACTCCATAACCCCCATGGATGTCCAGTCCGTGACCTGGATATCCGTGTGCACATATGGAGTGATGGCCAGCTGGCTACTCGAACTCACGGATGCCGGCGTGGATATCCATGAATCACTAAGAGCGAAGCCAACTTATAGACGCGGACACCCAGGTGCACGAGTGGATATCCACGTGCACCCTTTGAAGGGGGTGAAGTCACACTGTTGGTCTTCCAAAGCATGGTTTCGATATCAGAATCGCATTGATTTTCTGCTTGGCAGAGCCGACAGTTCAAGGTATAGGATGCAACTGGCAGCAAATCAACTCTTAGAATGCGTGGGAGGAACTATGTATAACAATGCTATGTAAGTAAGTCAAGGTGAGGAGGGATACATATCGGCATTGTCGTTAAATACATCATGGTCCCCCACACTCGTATCCGAGCCATACTCTAAGTCCAACAACTCCTCTGCATCCGAAGAGAAAAGCAAGTCATCCTGATACTCATCTTCCTCTGCACCCGAGTTGTTGTCTCCACCCGAGTCGTCATCATCTGCGCCATCATCTTTGATATACACATCACCGTGTTCCTCCTCGTCGCCTGCTTGAGTCATCTCGTTGACGAGGGAATGCTCGGTTTTGTGTGGAGGTTCAAAGTGTCCTCCATCTGCGAACCTCGCAACAGCCTTACGAGCAAGGGCAGCTGCAGCCTCTTCTGCCCCCAGTCCCCACCAACGATCCGGGCGTGCACATGGAATCTCACGTACCAGAGGCTCCCACTCGGCATATAAAGCGCTGATTTTGTGTCTTCGAAGTCTGATGAAATATAGGATAGAGGCATCTAGCAATTCCATACGTTAAATATAAAGAGTGTGAAAATACAGAGGACATGTCACCATTACTATCGTCCACTCGAAGGGATTGCCACTGTCTTTCCACCCATTCTTGTAGACGACTACGCTCGAGTACCAAGCGTTCCTCTTCTTCGGCTGCTCGGTCATACTCCAACAGGGCACGGATACCAGCGCGGACCTTTTCGTCTGAAAGCCAGGCGGGAGGGTTTATCGACTCATCATCTAAACCGCTGTTCTGCCAGATCGCATCGTCCACGTCCATGGTGAAGACCTGCTGAGGAGTGAGCAGTGTAGGTTCAACGGCACCGCGCGGAGCCTTCCTGTTGGCTATGAGGTTGCGTATGTCAAGGCAGCGTTGATTGTAACGATCGACCAGCCGTCGTAGCGATGGTTCTCCTTTCTTGACCGAGCCTTCAATATGAGTCGTTAGACTACCCTCTAAAAACAGTGAGCACGTGACAAAATGGCACCAAGAGCCAAACCATTAATGGTAGAGCGATATGACTGTAGCACACGCTCGAGCTGAAACTTCCGGGCACGGGCACGATCGCGAATCCGAGTTAACAATGCCAGGGCTTCCATTCTCGCTCGCATGTATGCGTCAACCTTCCGTCGATCCAAATCCTTCCGTCCGATTGAACTCATAGTCCCCGTGCATCGCTGCAAGGCTTTCACCGCCTGTTGATGTCCGTCGCGCGCATCAGCCAGCATAATACCGATGTTGACAACGTCAACGTTTCCCGTGCGTCGCAATTGCTGCTCGAGGTCCAATACTTCTGCCGCTCGCTTCTTTATGGTATTTTCAAGCTCTAATGCCCTTAGGATCTCGGCTTCCACCCTCGAACGCGACTGGCCTACCTCTGTCGTCAGCGGTGGGTATGTGGAGTGCTGCAACATCCACTTACGGGGTAGAGGCTTAGTCTGGGCTGACGACTGAGCAGCCCATTCCTCCCTCAATGTATCCTCTGACGCTCCGCACGCCGACCAAGCGGCCTTTGCTTTGTTCTTCCTTTCCTGGCACGCCCACCATTTGTTGCGTAGCCACAAACCGTAGCCATGGGTATGCTTGTTGTCGAGGAAGCGAACTTGGTTGTCGAGCACGAACCGGCGGCGATGAAACTATAAAGCTCATTAGCACCAGAAATAATACAATAAGAAAAATACTTTATGCACCCCAGAGACTCTCAAGATTGAGATGAGGAATCGTAACGCACTCCAGAGACGTTCGCAACCCTCGCCGTCAGAGAACCCAAACCCAGTACGCTTCCTAGGATGATACACCACCTGACAAGGCCATTGGTGCCCAAACGCGTGGAACACAGAGATCCCGAAAACCATGCGTGCGAGAATATCATCAGGGATGAGATTCCACTTGCGAGTGCTGCGCTCGAGTTGACAGGCGATGTCATATAGGATGCCGACGGTCATTTGGTCAGACAGGTGGAGAAAGAGCTTGTTAATGAGCGCTAAGGCGTAGTGTTGGCGTTCGCCTGATGAAGTCATGTTGCAAAACCAGAGCACACGATCGTGTCTGCAAACCAAAGCCATGAGGCCAGTATCGGCGAAGAATCTAGTGCTTGCCTTTTCACGCTTCTCATCAGCCGCTTTGAAGGAACCACCGCAGGCGTCCAGGCTTGACACGGGGACTTTCATGCCCTGCTCAACGGCATCTTCGTTGTTGCGTTCTCTCGCGTCAGCCTCGGGTCGGCCGCGTTTATGGGGTTGACGTTTCTCATTAACCCAGTTCTCCATCTCCTTGACCTCGTCGTCGGGCATGAAAAATGATGCGGCAGGGTTAGGAGGATCCTCGATACCAGCCTGCTTGGGATTGTTGGCGCGCTTCTGAGTGAAGCAAGCGTCGAGGCAGACGATTACGTCTGGTGATGACCGGGATAACGCTGAGGGCGTCAACGACGCGGGAAAACAAAGGGCACAACGATCTTGAAGGTATGTGGACGCGTGGGGGCTGTCCTCACCACCGGAGACGTCTTCATCCTCGCCCGAAGGCGATTTGGCTGGGAGCGAGGGTGTTCGCAGGTAGTTCTTGAGATGATCGTCGGCAGAAAGTCGGAGTATACTAAACCAGTGGGCTGCGACCGCAAAGCGTCGTCTGAGAGGTTCCTGGAAATACGCATGACTATGATATTTTATCATCGGCAAAGAGCAGCTCACTTTTGACGCAAACCTATAACCCATGTCATTGAAGAAATCTTCTAGGGCCTCACACCAGGCCGTGGTGTTGGGGGTGAGCCGCCAAAACATGTGGTTTACCAGGTTCAAGACACGTAAATCAACCGCGAGCGAAGGCTTGACAGGGGCGTTTGGGAACATACCAGCACACATTAGCTGGTAAGGAGCCGTCAGACATTTGCACGTATCCAAGGTAATCTCCTCGAGCTCTATACCAACACGAATATGTGAATATGAGACGAGGAAAAAAATACATAAACTCACTGTGAAACTTTAGACAGACGACAGTTATTCGCATGCGTTCGCAGTTGCAACGAATAGACTTCACATCCAAGGTTGCATCGGACTGGAGGGACTGAGATCTACTCATATACTCAAGATAGGGCCAAATAAGCGATGGTATGACATCGTGTGACCATCGACGCCAAGCGTTTTGACGCTTATCCGACGTAGAAAGGTATACCCGTGCACGGGGAGAAGTGGGAGCGGGCTCACAGTCGTCAAACACTGGATCTGAAGGGGGTACTGCAGTCAACTCGGGAGGTATCGCGTCCATTATTGGCCCAGATTCGGTGTGCTGCACCAGACGCCGGCCCGGTAAGGAGAGGATAGGGGTCGGGTCAGGAATCCGAGGATCCAATAAGCGCTTGAGGTGACGAGGATGACCTGGTGCTTGAGGAGCGTCCACAAATGTATGAAGCCGTTGCTTTGGTACATGGTATGGTTTCATGAGCAAAGAGACCGCGGAGGGTATTGGCGCGTTGACATCGATCTTGGCCTTTTTTCGTTTATTGGGTCTGGGAAGGGCGGGGCGTCGTACAGACATCTGATCAGAACAATAATAGTAAGCATTAGATAGGCATTTGCATTCAGGTTGGGCGTAAGATAAGCATGATGATATAAACGAAAAAAGAAAAAAGAGCTGTCCAGGCAATCGTAAGAGGTAAAGAGTTCATGAACAATCGAAATGAAAAAAAAAGTCCGAACAAACGCTGATCAACGTAAAGCAAACATGAGTATTGTCACAGGTGTCCCTACACAAATGGGAAAAGCAGCGGGAGAATGGGAGGGCGCCCCGTGTGTCGCTCGAACTCTCGAATGTAGTGCTTCATCATCCGCTGAGGATAGTTCCACCGATCCATTCTACTGGGCTCGCCAGTAAACTCCGCGAACCGCTCGACGGAATCCCACTGGTTAATCAACCGCCGAAACAGTTCCCAGTGGTGGAGGGCTACCGCATCATCGGGGTGATTGATGTGAAGTCCGCGAGGACTTTCCTGCGAGGGCAGAGGAACATCGGATACGGCGAGAACTTCAATGTTGCTTGGCACATCGAACGCGTCGCAAACGCGTCGCATACGAGCACGACGATCTTTGTCCCACTCCTTGCTGGCAAGGTGGTGATCGAGCGCAAGAAATTCGTATCGGAACGACAGCTCGGCAGCTTCCCAGACAATACGACGAATATCCAAAGGAGGCGCGTTGGCGAGTCGGACCAGATCAACGTCTTCACCGCGCCACTGAATAGGCGGGGGAGCCTTGAAGACATCCTGGCGCGTTGCCTTGCGGGCGTCCAGACTGAAGCAAGCCATGAACTTCTCCGCCTCAGCACGTTCGGTCTTGCTGAGTTGAACGCCGGGCTCCATGTTGCCGAGCAAAAACGGCCGCCAGCCCTTTGCCGAGGCCCATTGCTTGTCGAAGTAGCGGGCGTCGACGTCATTGATGAGCTCCTTGCGAGCCCGCATCCAGTTCGCGATATAAGTAGACCGGCGACCTACGTCCTTGGCAGAGCAAAGCAGCGCAGGATCGGGGAAACGCAATCCATGTCCGACACGACCCGAGCCACGAGTATCTTCAGCGCGGCGCACACCCAACGCATGTACGCCCCGCGCCTTCCCTCTACTGGTGGACTGTTTGGCACGCTCCCCAGCAGCGCGAGCTTCCACTTCGGTCTTGACGGCTTGGAGTGAATAATACCAGCCGTGGTCGCATGCAGGCATTAATTCGTGCTTGTAGATGGTCCAACGATCCCGTTGGGAAGTCGAAGAACCTGGAGGGAACTATTAGATACGAAATTGGGGACCACAATATTCAATCGCGAAGCTCACCGTCATAGTTTGCATGCCGCTGTTTCTCCAGTTGCGACGACATCGTTGCTTCAGTAGTGGCAGTAGCAGGCGCCTCGAGAATCCACTTGCTGGCTGCACGCAAGCGACAAGCTTTCAATCGCTCCCAAGAGCCAGGTCCATTGGAGCGCAGCACAGGGAATGGGCACAGACGAGAGCTTTCGTCATAGAAATCCTGGTAGCAGACATTGGCCGGTGTGACCGAAGCATGATGAAGGATGTTCATGTCAGGGGGGATCTGATGGGGACGCCTGATGTACCAGACGGGTACGCCTATGTCGTACAACATCTTGCATGTTGCGGGGTCATCGGTAAAAGCTCCCATCCACTGCAAATTGACTTCGTGCGGGAGGAGGGGAGAGGGAGACTGCATGCGAGGGTAGACAATAGTTTTGTAATCCATGAAAGCGTGAAGCGACAGGTATGATCGCTGCAGGTGGGCAAATGTAGCTAGAGCGTCTCGATATGTAACGGGAGTAGTTTCGAGATGGATGACTGTTGCTTCAAAATCGCGAAGAGCCGATGCTGTGTCATCAGGCTTCTGACCGCTGTTGCTGAGAAACCAGGTGTCCGACTTCTCTTGTACATCATTGAGCATGGCGCGAAGGCCGCCACATGCCTCTGGGCTCAGCCGTCCAATTGCAGAGTTATCGCTCGAACGAGCCCAGTACTTGTACTGGAAGCGATCCCACCCCCACCGACGAGCAACATGCGTGGATGTGCAGTCCGGGCGTGGAATGAGAGGCGCCCAAGCCCAGTTCTTGTGGTAGAGCTGAGGGTGTTGATGGGGATCAACGGCCGCAAATCGACCGTCTGCACGCGCTCGGACGGTTTCGTGTTGATACACGTGCGGTTCCGGGATTTCAATCATGTTGGGAGAGCTGATGAGGTACTGGTCGTACGCGGCCAGCACAGCGGCGTCGGTGAAAAGGAGCGGACCTAAATAGAGCTCAAATATCAGTGATGGGGATGTTACCAATGACTAGTTACGCACGTTCAGAGTCGAACAGTCGTCGATGCAAAGGATACTTCTCCATGTCGATGCCTTCGGTGCGGGACACCATGACGTCCTGGACAACGGCGTCAAAAATGAGAAAAATGAGTTATAAACACAACGGTGATCGTACGTGCCTGCAGTAGCAAACTCTATGGCGTGGCCGTTGTATACGAAATCAGGGAGACGTTGTGGCCGGTACGTGGAAAGAGCGAAACGTTGTGAAGAAGGTTTATGGTGAAAAAATAAGTCGTCCCCGAATGAAAAATGTAAAGAGAAAAAGGAGTGAACGGGACGTCCATAGCTATACGTAAAATGCAAGTGGTACAAGGGAGATGAACAAATGATGGTGATGCCCCCCCGCCCATCCTGAGGTCTTCAACCAACTAGAGCTTGCACGATCGTGCGGCGTGGCGACCTCATGAGCTAACGCTCAAGGGCGACCGACCCGTCAGCACATAGCTGCGGGGCCAGTCATGGGGCCGGTGGAAGGACGGGAAGCATATCGCTCCGCTGGAGACCGTGACGAGAGGAAATGGCCATACCGAGAGAGCTTCTTGCCGAGGCGGGCTGAGAAAGAACGAACTGGCACCAGGGGAAAACCGACTTGAAGGCGGGTGGCTGTTGAAGCAGGTAGAGAAGGGAGGGCGAGTGGGAACAGTTTGGATCAGTATCATCCAACAAAGAGCGCGTAGACGCACCTTAACAGACGCAATAGGGCGAGGCGACGGTGGCGGCTGCGAAGATCGATAAGCTGCGTGACGAGATAAGGTGAATCCTAGCATACCTTTGCCCGACGAGTGTCAGGGGAGCAATGAATCGTCTGGAAGTCGAGGGAGCCTCAGGGGTTCTAAGCGAGCGACAGAAAGCAAGATACTCACCGTGGTCCGAGGGTGCGGAGGTCTGTCGAGACAGAGGGAAGGGAAGAGGGGGCCTGCAGAACGCGCTCGCAACTCGATAAACAAGGACATGCGTGACTTGTTTGTGGGCGGCTGTTCCTGGGATTTATTAACCATATTGAGCGAGAATGTGCCCGGCCGAATGTCGGCTCGTAGTTACGGCGGCCTCGGCCGAGCAGAAATTCCCATATTTGGCGAACTTGCGTCATCACTGGCCCTGGATATCCTACGAAAGCGCTTGGATATCCAAACTCCGAATTTGGTTCCGCTGAAGTATATAGGTCTGTATTCTCGCACGTTCTCACCTCCCTTTCTTCCCTTTCTATTGCAGAGGCGGTCTTGACCCCCTGAGCCCCTTACCCACCTTCTCCTACACTATGGTCGCTCTCCTCATCGCAAGACACGCCATGTATCCCCGCCCGTAACTTCCTTGCTCCAGGTAAGCGTCCTCCTGTCCATGATGTAGTCCCTGGATGCCAAGGCTGACTGCATGATTGGGTACAATCCGTTCATGGCGCTCTAGGTCCCGTGTGTAAGTTCTCGTTCCATTTAACTTAGCGGTGTGTCTACATCTAACACGGGTGACGCACTTCGTTTAGATATCGTCTTGTCCATCCGTCTCGCTAGACTACCTGCCCGTCGCCTGTCGTCAATGTTCGCTTGGCCTCCCCGGGAATGGACAGCCCGGAGCGATATGCTCCCTGTCCCCCTTCCCGTTGTTCTCACTGGCCCCGCAGCTGTATGCTGACGGGTCAGTCGCCCTTGAGCGTTAGCTCATGAGGTCGCCGCGCCGCACGGATTCCGCGAGGTTTCTGTGCATGATTTCCGTGGTTGAAGACCTCAGGATGGGCACGATATCGATCGGCTACGACACATGTATCCACATCGCAATACGGTTCCTCGTTGGTGAGAAGAGTAGGGAGGCGCAAGGGTAGGGAGGCATGGTATGGAGGTTGAACGTCAACAGTTGGTCTGGGGCGTGGGTGCAAGCTGAGGTGGTGGTGCAATCCGTTTACCATGGGCTTAGGCAATGTGCTGCGTGTAGGGAGTCGAGGGTAGGGTTCGTGATGCATGGTTGTCGCACACGACTAAAGGCGTGCATGGTCTTCTTTGATTCAGCATCCAATGTCAACGTATTTTGCATGTAAATGGTCTCTGGTAGTGCAACGCCACTGGCCAATTTTTTGAGTATCAGGTATTAGGTAATTTACTACCAGCGCAGCGCTGACACCAGGCTGACACTCGTAGCTTGGGAGCTTGATGATACAGAAGAGTGGATCCCCATCGCAGTGTTATATGTGTTAACATCCACGAGCGCAACTTGACCGGGTTGCCTTACATGGTATGTTACACGCTGGTGACTCGTACTGGCGCTAATATATCGTCTAGGTCTAGTTCTATCATAAAATGGTACAACGTCCACGACTCAAGAATTACATCGATAGATGTCAGAGTCACGAATAGCTTGGGAATTCCATTCTGCAACCCTAGTCGCATTAGGACCCAATGGTCATGGCTGTTACTGTGCTTCATTAACTGCTGTCTTGTTATAGGTCGCACAATGCTAACGTTCCTGTAATACTGGCAAAATGACAGAAAGTCCTGTCCAGTTTAGTGCACCACTTCTATACCGCAATTTTCCATTCGATTGATGTCCACGGTATGTGAAGTACGTGTTTACTGCAACGCCTACTGATAATCACAATGGCAGTTGTGTCTGCTGAATCCGCCATGGCAAGAATATGCATTGTCACTACGTTCTTACAGTGACTCACCCCGTGGTCATACAGTCGTCAGTGTCTTTCTCCAGCTTTACACGCATGTGTCGAGCGGTGATGAAATGTGGCTGCTACTACGTTTTTGGTTTGCGTGAGGTATGTACCCCCATTGAGCATTATTTTCGTAAACACTTACACCGCATAGATTGAGTATCGAATTGTCACGGCGTCTCTATAGCGTACGCGTGATAGTACGGATGTGCTTGGCCTGGCTGATTCTATCTTACGAAGCAGTGAGAACGAGTGAGTAGTAGGCATGATAGCTCAGTATGAGAAACTGAAAGTCAGTCTCGCAGATGCACCATGCACTCATGTTACTTGCATGTGGCACAAGGAGTTGTGAGTGCATTGCATATCCTTTGTTGTTTATCGATGTGTTTCAGGTTGATCGAAACTTAGTGATCATTGGAGGGGCATACTACAACGTGAAGCTAGCTATCTACTGCAAACCCCAAGAACCCCAAGTACCGTAGTCAAAGTCCCAAACCACGGTATGGGTCAGTCTTTGAAGGTGCTCTTCGTGGCTTCGCAAAGAAGTATGATTCACTGACCATGTGCTCCAATCGACCCATCCATGCGTTCTCCACCTGAAGCACCCGTTCTCCTCCCTCTCGCCATACTCAAGAGTGCGCGCAAACACTCCGCCTAGCGCCTCCGTGCAGAAAATTGTCCCCATCGTCCCCGAAGGTCCGGGTGTCCCCATGTCGAGGTAGTACCCGCACTCAGACGCAAGGTAGTTGTTCGCGACACCATCGACAACGAAGTGGTGGAAGTACCAGCCCAGTTGAGCGAGCACGTACGCTAACGTTACCAGCCCTCCCGCAGAATTCACGCTGTACGCGACCGAGAACGGAGCGTGGCTATACCAGGGCGAGTTCTCCGGCGTTCGACCCCATCGCAATGTTACGCGTGCGTCCGCTTCATAAGGCGGGATCGACTGGGGTATTGGCTATGCCTGGTTACTGAAGCTGATAATAGGGTATGATGAACGTACTCACCTCATTCGTTTGCTGATGCATGTTCCGCACATAGTCGTCCCACGTCGTCCTCCCAGCCGCGACAGTATGATAGCTTTCACACCAGTACTTTGACAACGCGAATGTATTCGGCCATCGAGTCCTCCCTATGCCAAGCGGTTGCCCTGCCGCTAGTATGGTGTATGGATGGGTAAGTTATTATCTAAACAGCTTGACACGCCACTTACATCTCCTCAGATCGCGGATGAAAATGGAAGGACGCAGTCCGTTATCGTGAAAGATAGAGAGCGCCTCCGCCTCGGGTGGAGTTGGCATTGGCGTCTCCTCACTCCAGCCTAGGTTTGCCCACCCTGTATTTGCATCCGCATCCCAATCGCCCCGTCGTCCCCAGCCTTCGTCACCCCATCGTCCCCAGCCTTCGCCATCATGCCATCCGTTCGTTTGCTGCTCCGTGTCTGTGACTTGCGCAGGTGGATCTTGCCTACTTGCATCTTCATCGGAGTCCGATAGCTCGAGCCACCGCCCGGTGCCCTCGCCGACGTCTCGGCCGTTGCTTTGTGGCTGTGGGTTGCCGTTCATTGGCGGACTCATGTCAGCGAAGGCTTCGGCGGGCTCGTCGTTGCCGTTCGAGGGTTCCATGGCTGTGAATCTAGGGGCTTGACAGGAATGGAGGCGTTCGTCGGAGTTCGTTCAGGCGTCCAACTGGCATCAATCACGATGTTCCAGTCCAATGGAGAAAAACAGAGCATGTGTCCGATAAGCATTCTCCCCCATGCGCTACATGGGACCGGACACATCTTCCCGAGGTAAAATACTTGTTTCAGCTGTCAAATACGGGGGCGCTAACCACGAAGGTAGAGATTTGTGTCCTCGTGAGCTGCACTCTGTTGCGCTAAGACCCGACTCCGACTCCGATAACACGTTTTGACGGGCCCCAATTTCAATTGTGGTAAGCGAATTGGGGGGTTGGCTGCCATAGTTCGAAAGAATGACAGATGTGGAGTGGAGTTATATCTCTTCACCAGAGGTGGTACTTTGGCGTATATCGTTCGTTGCTTTGCATTGAGTGGTTTGCCTTATGTTCATCCGGCGTCGCAGGCTACCGTGGCCCCCTCAAAGACGGGCTGGTTCTTAAGGTCGGATTCTAACGGCTGGAGAATCTGTGTATTGCAACATCTGGGCGGCCCCAATCCGTAGCGAAGGCGATGATTTGACGGGTGTGTTCACGAGGTATGGTATTGCAAACGCCCCATTTGCGTCAGAAGTTGACAGTCTGGAATTTCAGATAATCGCGTGTCTGAGGTCGTCTCATCGACTTCATGATCGAGGGCATCCATTGCCATGTTTCTCTCACTGCTCTGGACCGCGTGTATAATACGCCCCAGGTTGAATTGTTGTGGTGAATCAACCGTGTTAGTAATGTATATGACATGTTTTATTATTTGGAGGGTACTCATCCACATTGGATCAAACGGTCAGACAGTCAGACATGTCTGCTGCCGCGGGGTTGCATGCCTGTTGAGCGCCTAGAATCGCCCTCGTTCTGCGCCCCTGATTTCTGCCCATGTTGATCGTGAATTGTCAAAGCACCTTGACGAGTCGGGATCGGTCTCTCAGTTTGCCGGGTGGAACCACTGTGATTCATCAGCGTTTTCAATTTCGGGCACAATTTGTCCTAGGGTTTCCAGCTGTTTCCAGTGCTCGGAGGTCCAGATGTATGACATAGAGGGTTGGTGGGTAGCGGGCGAGATTTGACTCGGGAACGTAAGATTGCTCGTTTGCTATATTGGAAATATTCTGGCTGAGAAAGGCGTATAAAATAGCGTCATTTTGATCCTCAAGACTCCCTACTCTTCGAACATCCTCCCTTTCCCTTCGCCTTCATGGCTCCGAAGAAGGGTCCCTCTACTTCATCTGAGAAGGTCCCACCCGAGCGTTCCACCCGCCAGCTTCCTCTGCGTACCAATGGCCGTAGTGCTCACATGCGTGGCCGCGTCGCCGACCCACCCGAATCTGCGGTAAGTGACGCGAATATGCATTCGCGATCATGGCCTGAATACCTACCAGGTAGACTCGGAAGTCCAACAGCAGTCGGGCTCTCGGTCGAAGCCTGTTCCGCGCCCAAGGCAGGCCACAGGTACGGGACTGTCGCTTCTCGAGCGCGTAGAGAAACGCGCTGAGGCCGTCCGCGACTCTCTGTGGGGCAAAGGTGACCGCCATATCGCTATCGAGTGATTCTTTCCCTGACGCCTTCCATCAGGACGGCGAAAGTCGTGTGGCGATTCCTCGCGTTCCTCTGATAAGGAGGACCTCGGTTCTTCCCATGGTGCTCCCCCACCGTCGTCTGATGCGGGAGATGATGACGCCGAGGGTGAGGACGACGCCGAGGGTGAGGACGACACCGAGGGTGAGGACGACGCCGAGGGTGAGGACGACGCCGAGGGTGAGGACGACGCCGAGGGTGAGGACAACGAGGCCGGTGAGGAGGAAGACGGATCCGAAGGAGGGGCTATGGACGTCGTTGTCAAACCGGACCCTGACGCACCGCAGTCTCAGTCTTCTTCAGGTGCGCAGGCGGCAGAAGGTGAGCCACCTATACTTATCGCGGCGACGCTTCCCTTCTAACGAAAGTTGTTGCCCCATCAGACGACGAAGATGCTAGGGAGGCGGACGCCCAGTTGACCGAGCCTGCAAACGGTGGACGCCGCTTGCGACCGAGGACCTCGTTGCAAGCACAAGCAGCAGAGGAGGACAGCTCCGGCGATGGTGAATGATTATTAGTATATATGTCTGGATGTGGTCTAATGAACATCCCAAGGCGCCGACAGTGATGAGTATGACTCTGCACAAGCGTCTCACTCCAGCGAGTCGGAAGACACTGCGGATGGGGCCGACGCATCGGATGCAGAACCCACCCGTCCCTCAAAACGCCCCTCTGCACCGAAGCCGCCGCGCCAGAAGCGCGCCCTCCCAGACGACGTTGAACCGGCGGGGACATCAAAACCGCCTAAACCTCCGAAGTCACCGCACCCCCAACTGGTCGACGCGCCTGTCCCTTCAGGGGGCAATGAGCGCCCTTCTACACCTTCGCAACCTTCTCCTTCCACGCCACCCCCTCCGTATCAGCCTCCTGCCAAGACAGGCAAGAACAAGGGGAAGGCCAAGGCCAAGGCCAAGGCTTTCGACCAGTCCACTAAGACTGGTCGGTGGTCGAAAGCCGAGCTCGAACGTCTTAGTGCATTCAAGGAGCGATGGGAGGATGGCCTCGACGAGCTGGTCGATGACCTCGGTCGATCTCGATCTTCTATTGGGGTTGCTCTAGGCCTGAGCTTCACTCAGTATCGCGCGGAGAGCATGTGGAACAAGCACCAGTGCTGGTGGTGGCGAGAGCGACGCGATGAAGCAGGTGTGTTTACTTTAAACGTCTAGTAGCTGGATGTTAACGTCGACCCGTAGATCCATTACATGTCGCTCGCCTTAAGTGTTCCGCCGACTTTTGGGACCGGGTGCAGCAGTCTTCGTCCACGGAGCTGCAGTCTGATACCTCCACGGTGGAGGAGGCCAGCCTGGCGCTCGACCCTGAGCACGCGGTCTGGGCTCCCATCGTCGCCCACTGGGACGACCTTCGTGATCCTCAGAACATGTCTGTCGATCAGCACATGACCGTCATGAACCAGTGTGTTACAGAGTTCAGCAAGGCTGTAGGTTATGTCGTTCTCTCCTTGACACGTTGCTGACCCAGCGCAGGCTGAATTATACCACCGACTGTATGGAATCTATGTCGGTGGGTTCGTCGTCACCCTCACCGACGACGCCACTCCCAGATGCCTTAACCAGGCTTGGGGTGGCTGCGATGTCGTCAACGAGCTTATCGAAGCCAAGGATGCCAACGTGAAGGGTTGGATTCGTTACGCGGAGATCCTCATATCGTGAGTGCCCTTTTTTCTTTTTCTTTTGCTTGTCTTTCCTGGGTAACTTATATGTACATTTTTAGCGCAAAGCTTATGGGCCTCGACATCAATATCGCACCACCGTCCACTCAGCCGGCTACCGTGAAGCTTACCGCTATGGAGCGCCTCAAGCAAAATGTCCTCAAGTCGTACAATCCGAAGGAGGGGACTCGGGACCGGTTGCGCCGTATTGTCGGCATTCAGCACAAGTATCTACTTGGTGCGTCTCCGTCTCTGTCCTTCGCCATGACAGATTTTGACGTCTGCCGTACAGCCGAACACAACGTCCTTTTTAATGATCCCGGCGACCCCGCGTCCCACGGCAGGCAGAAGTTTGACTGGAGGGGCTACCCGGATGTCCTATGTCAGAACAAGCTGAAGATGATCTACTGGCCTGACGACACTCCCCTTCCCGGGGCTTATATACCGGGCGATCTCAATGTCGGCGACCTCGTGCCTGTCGTCTGCCCCTGGATGATGCAGCTGTATGAGCAGTGGCATGCCGAGACCCCCGACTTGGTTCCTGAGTATGACGGACCCGAGTGCTCGATCACGACGGCGATACGTGTGGTTCGCATGGATGCAGGTATGTTTGAGCATGTCGTTTACACGGTCGTACTGATGTCTATGCCTTTGTTAATCTAGCCGAATGTTATGCCTTGTCGTGCAATGACGACGACAAGGTTCCTCTCATCGTCGGTCAGAACGATGATGTCCTTATGTGGGCGAACAAAGCCCTCTCCTCCAAGGGTCGCAAACGCTCCAAGCAAGATGAGGACTTCATCGTCGCCGATGATGTCGACGTGGAGCCTGTCAAGAAGAAAAGGAGCGGGGGGAAAGTCCACCAAGCTAAGTACGTTACCTTAGCAGCGGCGTCGCTGGCACTGGCTGATGCCACGTAGGCAGGGTGCACGGGCGAAAAAGGCCGGCCAGCCCTCGACCTCCGAGGTTGTTGCGCCGGCATTGCCAGCACGTCGTACCATCGAGGCCATTCCTCGCGCTTCCAGCTCTGTCGTCCCCTCGTCGGTTTCTCCCCCTCTGCGCGAGCCCCGCTCCATTATCCCGGGCCGGAAGAGCCCACGGCCCAACGTATCCCCGCAACCTCATGCTTCCGGCTCTGTCGTGCCTTCCTCGGTGTCACCTTCCCCGCTGAAGCTCCCCGTGAAGCTGGTTGCCGCTGTCCGGGAAATGGATCGTGAGGAGGCTCGTTCCGGGCAGGCCAAGACCCACCGCACGTACCATGCCGCGCGCGGTCGCTCCCCGTCGCCAAGCAATGGACGATCCCATCGCGACCGACGTTCTGCCAGCCCACGTGAGAACAACTACGCTAGGCGCGGACGTGAGTCACCTGCACCGTCCCATGACCGCGTCGCTCGGTCGTATTATCGTTCGCCATCACCACGCCGTCATCGTCAAATCGAAGATCGACAATTCTCCCCGGCACGTTCTCACCGGAGTGGTCGTGAAGACCGCGTCCCGTCCCTGTCGCCTCCTCGTTCCTACAAGTCCTCTCGCAACTGGTGAGTTCTTTGTGTCATTTTTGCTGGTCGTTATCACTAATTCACTTGAATATTTTCTAGTCATTCCCGCTCCCCCGTACGTAGTGGCGGTGCTAATGGGGTGTCATGGCACTCTCGTCGTGAACTCGGTGATGGCGGGACTTACCCTCATTCGTACGATCGGCGCTATCGTTCGCGATCACGAACACCTCGGCCCCGGAAATATTCCCCAATGAGGTATGTCTATGTGGTTTGTGGCTGGCGTGCTTGTCATCTTATTAGCATACCAGGGTTGATTCGCCGCCCCCACCGCGCCGCCGTGATTCCCGTGAGTCCATGCGGGCAAGGTATGTCGGCGTACACATGCCCTATAGTATACCGCTTATTCATTCTAGGGAATATAGTCCGGAGTACGTGCGGTCTTCTAGAGACGCGAGATATGCTAGATATGATTGATGTTTATGTATATGGTTTTCGATTGCAATGATGTATCTGTCCTTTATGCTCATACGTTCTCATGGTGACCTTGCCATGGTCTGATGCACCATATGTCTGATGCTGTGTGTCTTCGTCATCTGCAAAAGTGATGATGTAAATATAAGGTGATGACTACCCTATCTTAGTGTGCTGGTTCACTTACAGATGTCGAAATGAGTCTACCACTTATAAAGACAAGGTTAGGGCGATACTAAGACTTGGAACTGAGTCTAATCTAGTACATGGCCCTTACTATAACTAGTGGATCTTGTACATGAATGTGTATGTTTGATGATAATATAGCATATGTAGGTATACATAGCCAATGGTGATCCCCCTTACTAACACAGTATGGTTCATCTGGTTATCCATATCACTAAGAATATCCATCAGTAAGTGTTGGCTTGTCAATATGGTGATTCTGATATCCAAACCCTGCTTGAGGAGCTGAATATTTTCACTTAGCACTATTTAAGAGGGTACCAGATATCTGCGACACTCATGCAGTTGCACTTCAGAGTGCATGTGGATATCCAATGCCGGGCCTGGACATCCACCTGTTCAACATGGTGGAAGGTAGACATACAGGTGGATTTTCATTTGCCTGTGGATATCCAAGTGGTTATCTCAAGAGTCTTTGAGAATGTGTATGGATGTCCGTCCTTGCACATGGATATCCCAATAACAACCTTATGAGAGTTTCCAAGAGCACCTATGGATGTCCAAGTGCAAATGGATGCCCTAGCCCCAACTTGAATGTCCCAATATCCATCTGGGCGGAATTTGATAGTCTACATGGATATCCCATGGGCTTTCATGGGAGAGCAGGAGAGTAGATATGGATGTCCATGTGCACATGGATGTCCAGTTAGCTTACTTTGAGGCCAATAATATTGTGCATGGAAGTCCCTTCCGCCATTTGGATATCTCATTGGCCATCTGGGGAGAGGTTGATTGTGCATGTGGATATCCAACTGGCTATGATGGGAGAGTGTGAGAGTGAATTTGGATATCCAACTGGCTATGATGGGAGTGTGTGAGAGTGCATTTGGATGTCCATGTGCAGATGGACATCCCTACAGCTTATTTGCACAACATTGAAAATGCAATGTGATGCAATGTTTGAACAAGCATATTATTATACTAGTTACACCCTATGGATATTCAAGTGAATGGTCCAAGCTAGTACAACACTGTACTAAGTAAAACTGTATGGTTGGATAACCCCGTGGAACCTTAGTAAACAATAGTTGAGATATAGTGGAGTGGCAGCCAGTTATTATCCTGCTGCCAATATGCAGATTGCTGTGCTGGGTGTAATGCCACCGTATGCAGGGTGCTGTGTGGGGTGTAATGCCACTGTACGCAGGGTGCCATGCAGGGTGTAATGCTGCTGTACGCAGGGTGCCATGCAGGGTGTAATGCCGCTGTACGCAGGGCACCATGCAGGGTGTAATGCCGCCGTACGCAGGGTGCCGTGCAGGGTGTATGGATTGACGATATTAGAGCCAAAACCCAGATTTATGTAGCCAAGGACCCCTGACACCCCTGGAGA